CTGTGTGCATTTGTGCATGTATGTACAAAGGTACGTCGTACGTATGCATTTATCTCCGTATGTATGCATGCATGGAGGTAGAGGAAGAGGCGGACAGGCCGAGACGGGGAGAGGCAGACAGGTCGACAAGGTGCGTCCATCTCGGGCCTTGGGGGCATCAAGTGCTATCACCTGCAATTTTGCCCTATCGGCCGATGCCCAACAGAGCACAAAGGCGGGGGTCACGCGCTTGACGAGCTGACTGAGAATGAGAGTAGTGTACCCAACAAACTAGGAGCCGACATGAAGGGCTTCTTAAATTTCCTGCCTCTGGGTTTTCTACAGTCACGTGAAACTTTAACGAGGTACGACACGGCCTTCAGAACGGTCAAGTTCTCGGAGAAGCCTGCAAAAAGTCCTCGCAGGTCCTGCCATGCCACCGCCACTTTCCAAGCAGAAAGCTTCATGCATGGCTTAATTGTCAGCTCTTCGAATTCGGGAACACTACTACTGATCACGGCAATATGATCGCTGACTCTCGCGCAGCTAGACGCGTGAGCTTTTTTGTCATCGGTGAATGCTGGGCACCCAAAGCCATCTTCTCTCCCAGTGGCCATCATTCGCTCTGTCCTGGGAGAATCCACGAGGTTGTGCGGCGCTTCAGCACTGCAACTCACGTCAGGAAAGAATCTTACCTGCTCAGTCCGAGCTTCTCGACTCCTTGACTGCAGCACTTGCAGTCTACATTCTGTAAGCTTACTCTTATGGCTGCATTACACTCCCCTGTACTCCTATCCATCGGTCAAGCGCTCCAAAAGACCCCGCCGAATCTCATACGATGCACAGCTTTGCCGGTTGAGCTCTGGGCCAAGGCTGCAGGAACTTTCGCCTCGCCCGCAGTCGATGTCAGTGCTATTGGTGAAGGATAACGCAACGAGCCTTACACTGCATGCAATCATGGAAAGATCCGAAGATGAAGCCTACTGAGTTTCGCAACACGAGGTCACGGATGCTCTGCCATGCTGTGCTGCCGCCCCTCTCTGAGAGGCCTCCTCGATCCGTTGATGGACCCTGCCCCCCAAATGCAGGACCACCTGGGAGCAACATGCTGGCAAATCTCTGGCACCATGTTTTTGATCCTGCAGCGAAGCAGCTGTCCGTGCGACATCGTCCTAAAGGGAAGCAGCAAGCAAGAGATACACCCTGAGTCGAGGGCGAGATGGACTTGCCCCAATATTCTCATCAGCGAGCCTGCGCAGCTTTCGCGCATGCACTTGTGTGGGTTTGACCATTCGCTGTTGAGGAGAGCTGCCAGAAACCCCGAGTCGAGTCTCTCCGAGGCTCCTCCGCATCAAGGTCCGCGAGCTCTGAAGTGAGAGTCTTGGCCTCAGAGCGAGGACGGGCTGAGCTCAAAGCAGTGCCGTTGCCGCCGTGGGCTGGGCTTCCTCGTGCAAGAGCAGATGCTGACTGGCGGCCTGCGAACTCGCAAGGTCGACCCTCCTCTGCACGGATCGTTACAGAATGAGTACAGAATTGCTTTGATCTGTCTCCGATTAACTCTTGTGACACGGCCTTCAGCTGAAGCAGGATTTGTCGCCGCTCCTGCAGGATCAACAGTGACTGGTGGTCACGACAGAATCGAAGAACAAAGCGTCCTTCCAGCTGGGCAAGTGCTTGGGTTCACCTGACACGTGCAGTGCGAGCTTACACAACACATCTCATCAGCAGAAAACTCTCGCTGCAATTCCCTCTGCTCCAATCATTTCTTCACACCGGAGCTTCGCAGCAAGAGGGCAGGTCGTTTGCACTGCACGCTTGCAGATTGAAGACACTGTGAGATCCGGAGTCGTGTTCAGCCAGATCTTCTGCTTCGGAGATCACCGATAGGCGCCAGAGCAAGGCTGGCAGCAGGCAGGGCCCTTGTAATGTCCGGTCCGCGGGGCCTGACGCAGCCCGTCATCATCGCGGAAAGGCAAAGTTGTCTTCAAGGATGGTCCCGGGTCCAAACGCCTCAGGCAGTCATCGACCAGGCTGACAACTTCCGCTGGGTACCCCTCCAGCTAGGAAACTCAAGCATAGAACCCTTGACGGTGAGCCACAAACCCATAAAACCTGAGCCTAAAAACACCCTACACCTTAAAACAACAAAGCCCACAAACCTCTTTAACCTAAAGCCCTCAACCCGAAAAAGACAGTCCAAAAAAAAACTTGGACCCAGACCAAGTTGGCAAAGCAGTCGTTCTTGAATCCGCCACCAAACACTCTGTGGCTCAGAGCAACAGAGCTCAAGCGACCGGTGATCGCAAAGCTTCCGCACCTCCGACTGGCCCCTCAATGGCGCTAACAGACACCTTTTCGTTCACCACTGAGGGCATCTGCGGCTTCCTAGGCGACCTCGAGCCTTCCCACCCACACATAGGGCACGAGATACTTCAACGCGACGAGCCCGACACAGCTGCCTTCCTGCTCCAGGCGACGCATATTGCCCCAACCGTCCCACTTATTATGGCGCTCGATCATGACGAGGGACTCTCCTTGCCAAACTTGAAGAAATTGTCGCAGGTTACGCCATTTCATGGGAGGATCGAAATCTTGAGTGGCCATCCACAAGCAAAGAGAATCACCTGGAATGTCCACCAGCCGCTGATTGGTGGACGTGTGGGCTTGAAAGAAGAGGGAGCCATCTTCACGAACGCTGGTGGCCACAAGACAAACAAAATCCTGGCGGTTAAGCTGAAAGAGGCCTCCATTCACGGAGCTAGGACAATGCGTCCAAATGCGTGCGCCACCTTTCAATAGCTGCTCGACTGAAGGCAAGGAAAGGCAGGAGGGGCAGGGCTCTCCAGGATTTGGCGGCCGGTGCCGCAGCAGTTCGAACTCCTTCGTGCCCAAAGCGGCCGGATCTTCCAAGGCCGGAGGCTCATCCCGGACTGGCCTGCCAGCCAGCCGCTCGCGCATGTTGCGCAGCCGCCTGCCCACATCGCCCAAGACCATCTGCAACAGGAGCTGAAACTCCAAGGAAGAGTCGGGAATGCCACGCAGGGCCGGTGCCTCGCCGGGCAAATACCAACGTGAGGGGATCCCCAGCGCAGCATCGTGGCTAACTTCAGTGGATCGCCGAATCAGGTCAGTCGAACGGCTCAGAACACGCCGTATCTGCGTACTGTGTAGCGGAATCTTGTGGAGGCCATTGCAAACTGTGTAGCAACCAGAGACCTCGTCGAAGGAATTCACGCAAGCAAGCAAGCCTGCAAAGCCCTCAAGGTCTGAGGGCACGTTGTCGTGGATTTCTACTACACTCCCCACGCGAGCGCTCCTATCGATGCGACAGGACACCCAATCCAGAGTTGATAGAACCGGAGCCCAAAGGCCTTTGTGCACCACGACATGTAGACAGTGGACTGCTTCCATACCGGGTGATGCAGGGGGTAGACGCAATGCCGGCTGATTCAGCCTGGACACCGTGATCTGCGCTTTCAGAAATTTCGCAAGCAGAGCGAGGTCCACGATGTCCAACGGTATCCGGGCCACCACCGTCGTGCTTCTCGGGTATTTGTTCCAACACTGGCCATCCGCAGAAAAGTCCCTGCTGTGGAACGTCAGGCAGTACAGGTACCATTTCCAGTAGTCTTTTGCTCTTTCAAGCGAGTATCTGGCACAATGGAAGAACGAGAGCTCGTCTGCGAGTTTCGCTTCGAGAAGGGCCTCGAGTTGTGCTCCCTTAAAACTGGCATAAGTCTGGACCAACACTGTCCGGAAGGTAGTCTCCAAATCCTCACCGGTCTGAATGTGGCATCCGCTTGCCCTGCAGGCCATCGATAAGCTTTGCCAAGCACATCCTGGAGGGCAAGTGTCCTGAACCTGCCGGTGAAAGGTGTTAGAGATCCACTGTTTCAACAGGTCAAAACACACGGAACGACCAGCATCTCGATCTGCGAGCCTCTGCAACTCCATGACTTATGGTCAGCAACGCAGGTGACAAGGCTGTGAGCCACGCTCCGCCGGCACAGGGGCACTTTCCGTTGTGTATATATATATATATACATACCCATGTATGTGTCAACGCCAGACTCGACTATACAGCGCTATGTATCTCTGCCTGCCCCCAAAGCACATCTACGGCGCGCAGCAAAAGCTCTGAAACTGCGCAGCACCACTTGTAAGTTAAGGCTGCATACTTTACGTGGTGCTACAAAACATTCATTCAGCTGTTTGGCAGGGCAGATCATGTATGCCAGGCAAACCATGCTCAATTTTACGCAGTATCCCGGAGTTGCATGTGCAAAAGCGTAGCGCACCCCGCGAGCGCCAAAGCGGCCGAATCCACGAGAGAGCATCCTGACAATGAGCTCAGGGTCTTCGAGGTTTAGGATTCAGAATTTCGTTTGGAGCGAGATAGACACCACATTTTTCAGGTCAATGCAGGCCTTGAAAGCTGATTGCTCCTCGAAACATGACGAAGCCACTTCCTCAACAGATCTCAACAGGAATTTCAACAGGAACAGTGTGGGTTAGAGGCCCAGAACTTGGGGCTACCTGGCGCTGCAGAAGCCCGTCAAGGGAAAGCGCAGCGCTCTCGGGCTGCTCTGGGGTTCCGGCTTTCCCCTGGCAGGGCCTGCGTGCGCCGGCTGGTTTGCTTACCTTCATGATTCGAAGTTGAACACCAGGAGGACCGGCCTCGCCGAGGCAGCAAGCAGACGTTGTGCCCAAAGCTGCACTGAGCGCCAATGAGCCTGGCTTTTTCACAATATCAAACCGAAGTGCGAAGCTTATCGTCTGCTCCCTTCGGTTGCAACCTTTACGAAGGGAGCCACGGCTCCCCTACCAAACTTGGAAAGCTTCTTTTACTCGGGCCCAAGCCGGCTGTCCTTATGAAATGCGTTTGAGTGCTTTGCACTGTACAACTCGAAACTTCATTCCTTTCATGTTGATTGAGAGTTGCATGATGCAAGCTCCCTTCTCAGCACTTTCAACGAGAATCCCGACACATGCTGGGTCATTTGCCCCTTCCGTAGGCCTTGGCTACCGCCTTCTTCTGGAACGGACCGGCCTGAGACCTCGCCCATTGGTGTCTCTCTTCGGAATATCTCTTCTGGGCAGGTCTGTTGCTCCACGGCACTTCGAGCTGCAGTGTCTCCAATCTACGGCTTCCTGAATCGTGGGGGAGTGCATGCATCTGCAGGCTTTCACATTCTTGGCCCGCGACAGCAACATCATTGCACGAAGCGTGCGTGACAGCGGGAGGTCCTGCAGACATACTGGGGGACGTGCATGGCATTACAAGCCAACCGAACCCATCAAAACTCTTTCAGAAATCTAGATCCCGCTGGCCATCACTGTCCTTGGAGGTCTTTGGCAAGTTTACCTGCTCCTGCAACAAGGCGAAAGCCAGAGCTGAAGCCGGACGCCAACAACGAAGCTCATCGCCTCACCTTCTCTGCCTCCCAGCGAGTGCTTGTCTCAACTGGCACGAGCAGCTCCAGCACGACATCTAAGGACAAAGTCCTCACAAGGAATGCAAAGTCCCAAAACTTGGGAGGAAAGCCAAGAGATTCAAGTCTCTTGAAGTGTTTCAGCGCCGGGCACAAAGGCAGATTCACAGTCATTGACACCTGCACTGAGCAGGATGGTCTGGTCCTGGCAGCTTTTGTCCACAGACGATGTCTGCCGGGGGCAACACAACTGGACTCGAATCCTTCAAGGGAAAGACCGAGTTAAATCGTGCTGGACATCTGAAGTAATCGCCCGTCCTGTGAATGGAGCTTCTGGAGCACCATGCCTGGCAGTCGTTCTCCCTCTTGCCGGTATTGCTACAACCATGGTGCTGCTCCAAAGCTGACCTTCCTAAGGTTAGGACAGCCTGCCTGGTGCCCCCGGCCTGGCCTGAAGCGAACTGCACGGTCTCACAGCCAGGCCCCAGCTCGTCCCAGACAAGGCCTCTGCGGCTGCCAGCTTCTGCAAGCTTGCGCACCAGGCTCTTCAAGGCACTCAACGGAGTAAGGACAAGCATGCTGAGTCTAGGCTCCTTCATGCAGTTTCCTTCAGGCCTACTCGGCGACAAGCTTGGCTCCGAGAGCGCTTCCGACAACTTCCGCCAAACTCGTGCCACTCCGCGTGAGGGAATGATGGCGAAAACACACGCTAAACGGCACCCCCCCCCCCATTTCTGCGTGCTGAAGACAAGGCAGAGGCCGCTTTGTCAGCTGGCCTTCTTGGCCGAGGTAGTGGAAGCAAAGCTCGGGGGAGGTCGCCAGCACCTCCAATCCGCACACCGTGAGAAAAGCGTCTTCTCAACAGCAAACAAGCATCAAACGGCGCAAATACATCACACGAGCACCTCGTATGGAGATTCATTGTTCACCAGGTAGAATCGATGCAGAAAGACGTACCTGTTGAACCTTAACCACCAAGGTCGGAAGATTCTGCACAGAAGACAAGACTCGCGGCATGTCTCCGCAGTCTCCAATTTCTGTAGCTGATGTATGTGGAGAGGAGGAGATCCTTCCGTGCATCGGCGCGTCCGTCTGAAAGAGCTCTCGCCGAGAGTGGAGCTGCATTTCAGGCATGGAGGCCATTCAGTTTAGCTGTGTTGGTTTTGAGTTCACCATGGGTTTCCCTTCCGCCTTCTATGAGGCCAAGGACAGTCGTGTTTCTGCAAGTGCTGCTGCAACATGCTGGGAGCACGCTGGCCTGATTCAGCCTTTCAGAAAGTCTTTGTCTGGCCGATAAAACATCCTTTTGCGGCGATCCAACTTTCCCTCCTTCTTGACCAGCCGACCATGTTGAATGTGTCCTTCCCGGAAATGAAGTTCCGTGTCGAGCAAGTGGCCGGTTCACTCAGGTTTTATTGTTAGAAACTGCGGTGGTGGTTGCCAAGCGGATGATGTGCCAGTCCCAAAACAGATCGGTGTAAAAGCCATAATTATGTCAACGGCCCCGGAGCGACCAGCAGCATGAGCATCAGCTGAAAGTTGTGATTCAACCCTTTCCGCAGGCGGCCAGCATCATTGACAATGAAAGCTGTGATTCGACGTTGTCGGCCAGGCCGTGTTTTAACAAGCCCATCAGCGGCCGAGCGACATCATGAGTTTCAGCCCAAGGCCGTGATTTAGCCCGCCGAGGGCATCCGGCATCATGAGTATCAGTCGCCAGTTGTGTCGTGAGCCTTTGCTGCACGCTTTTCTAACGCTGCCCTCACGCTGCCAGCTTAGGAGCATCGGAGTTGCCAGTTGCACCAGCTTGCAGCTTGCAGGCCTCCAACGCCTGGCAAAAGCCTGCTGTGTTTCAAGTTGTCGAAAAGCCATATCATGAGCATAAGCTGCTACCTGCACACCGAGCTGAAGTCGTGATTCAACCGACCCAACACCGGCCCGTATCAAGAGCATCAGCTCAAGTCGCAACCCAAACTGGGCGGACCGCATCACGAGCTTCAGCTGCCAGTTGTGACTGAAGCCTCCGTCTTGCTCCAACTGTGTGTGTGTGTCGTTTCATGCTAGGGTCTTGTCAGGATGATGATGTTTCGCTCATTGCAGGACAACCCGAACACTCCACTTCGGGATATGCTTAGGGAACCAATAGCCGAGGCGTCGCACGCGTGCAATCCTAGCGCAGCGGGGAACTCCACCGGAGTCCACACGGAGGGTGGGCGGATCAAACTTTACTAGCTAGCCACCGATCTGGCTCCGATCCAGCTTGGCTTAAAGCAGCAGCGGTGCACCCCTTCTGCCAAACTCAACATGTGGTTTAATGTGTTCTGCAGCTCGATGTTCAAGCTTGTCGGACCATTCGTAGCACTCCGCACCGTCCTGAACTCAACGTTGATCATCACTTACACCAAAGTTCTGCTTGACACAGAAGGACCACTAAAGTCCGCTACGCCAAAATAGTTCTGCCTGAAAAGCTGAATGCTGGCATGATCTCGAATCTCACGCTATGTGTGCAGCACAGAACCCCTGCAGGCACGATTACTTTTTTGCTCGAGCTGGCGGTCAAAGTGAATCACAGCTTGGCTTGCAAAAGCATCTTCGTGTGCTGGCCCGTGAACCTCAGCATGGAAGATGCTGTTCTCTCTTCCGGTCTTGCTGTCACAACTGTCACTTACATGCTTCCTAGAAGTCAGGCCAGGCAAATCCAGGCAGGTCGCACAACGTGGTCTGCAGATTTTATCGTCCTCAGTGATCAGGTGAGGTGAAAACCGCAAGCTCGTGCACCGAGCACTTGCAACTTGGTCGCATCGATGCGAAGGCCAAGTTCTTCCCAGCCTGTTCGTGCAAGAAGTCAAGGCTCCCAAAGAGTCTTTAATCTGGCCTTTTCGAGTCGGCAATCGATGGTCAGCTCATCTCCCAGCTTCGCGGCTCCTTGATACTGTCCTGTGGGGAGCTGTGACACGGTCGCGAACATAATCTTGTGGGCCTGGCACACGGCAGCTCTCCTGTCATGTTGACGCTGACGGAGGGCCGCTGGTCCATCTGCGTCGCGGCAGTGGCCATATGCAGTGCGCCCATTCAGCAAATGCCACCTGGTTGATAACGACCGTCGTGAGACAGTCTAGCAGGAGCATGGAGAAGGCACCTGCATGCATTCATCATCACAGAGCTACAAACCTCATGACCGAGATCGGCACCATGCAGAGTCTGTAGAGCGTTGACGTGCTCCGGGCCCACCTGCAGCCAAAGTGCCTCCGTGCATGCGACCCCACGATGCCACGCCTTCATCTTGAAGGTGATGAAGCCCGGCTCCACTGCCGCCACCGCGGCATCTTTCAGCTCTTGCACGCCGAAACCTCCCAGCGCAGCGGACTGCTAGAGTTTCCGACCGTTTGGCCGCCAAAGACACTCCACAGCCTGCGTTAAAGAAAGGGAGATCTCCCATCCGCATCCCCACAGGGATCCGTGCCATGGCTGGAGACTTTGGCGGCTTGGACATTCTGCCAGCACGGTGTGCATCCACGTGCCTGCAATCGCCTGTGTCCTTGTATGCTTGTGCACTGCTGCGATGCTGGCATATGCTGGCATATTTGCAAAGGTTGGCATCGCGGAGCTGCAGGAGATTAGCATGATTAACTTGTTCGGACTCAAAGTTGAGCTCATCTCGAACTGGTTTGAGCACTTCAGAGGTTCTGAACGTGGCAAACCCTTCCACCCTGAGCTCTGGACTTGATGTGCGCAATCCCGATGCTAACCTGCATGCATGCTCTCGTCGCCGCTCGGCCAGAAGAAAGATAATTTCCAACGGATTACACCGCGCTTCTCCACGAGTCCGGAAGTTCAGCGCGCCTCCAGGCCACCCCAGTCAACTGGGCCGACACAGCAGAAGCCTGCCGCAGGTCTCTGCATGATCACAAGCTACTCTGCCTGACCATCTGACGTAAAACCTGATTGAGGAGGTGCAGAACCTGACAACCTACGAGCAACAAGAGAGCCTCCTCGGTAGAAGAACTGCGAAGTCGGAAGCAAAGGCAAAGCGGGTGTTCGCGTTGATGACACCTGCGGACACAACGACAAGCCTCTACACCACGCAATCCGTGGCTCATGATGGCACTCTTTCCAGTTTGCTGATACAGTCTAGAGTCATTCATGAAAGCTGGAATGCAGCCAGCTTTGTTCTGCCTGCTGCCAGAGCCCCGACGCCAAGTCAACCTGCAGTGGGCCGGAGGGAGGAACCAAGCTGGCACCAGTACCAGGAAAGAGACCACCCAGCCCAGCATGTGCTGCCCGACCTCGAGCATGATACGAGGATTCAGGGAGAACTCCACGAGAATGGACTCCTGGGCATTCCCTGCCCTACCCCGTCACCCTCCCCGGTGCCCGGAAAGTGCTGTGGTCCCGCGCCTTGCGGACCTGAGCGAGGTTCAAATTCTTGAAAGCCTGTTGCTCCCGGTGTTCTCGGCGATGAAGTGCCTCTCAGAGGATCTTCAGAGTGGCACAAAGTGGAGTATGGCGAGCCTCGCCTCCGGAGTGATTTCTGTTAGAGTGCCAGTCTCGATCCAAGCAGCCTTCCGAAGTTTCTCAGATGCGACGGGACGGGACTCGCCGGTAACTCGGTAGCCAGCAGGCGTGCAGCCATGTGCACGTTCCCCAAAGCAGAGCCCTGCAGTCGGTTCGTCTCAAGGTTTCAACGACTCGACAGCTCTGGTAACTTTAGTACTGAGGACATCTCTTGTCTGCAGCTTTGCAATGTAGGAGGTTCTGAAGCTGAACCTCGCTCAGAAACTTTGAAGCACGAATCTGTTGAGTAAAAGCTCGGCCGGTGGGCACTTGCTCTGAACTACCGTGAAGGAGCAGACAAGCGACGACAGCCAGTAGTCCTCTTCAAACTTGTAAAGCCGAAGGTCCTTGAAGGTGCCGGGATGCGAAGGCTGTCCACTCAAGCAACAAGAAGCGGCATGAGGCATGGCCTCCGGACCTTCGATGGATCTCTCTGCAAGAACTTTGCCATCCTGCACCTTCGTCTTCTTTTCACTGGCTTTGACTTTGAGGCTTACCTTGAGCTTCGCCGCTTGGCTGAGCCGCACTTAGCCTTGGCTCCAAAAGCTTTTGCCCTCGCGAGGCCTCCTGGAAGCGAGCCCGGAAGCGGTCGCGCTGGAAGGCCACAGGAACCGCCTAATTAGAACATGTTCCGCGGCGCAGAACGGCGGCGAGACGGACGCGGAACGACTTTTGAACACTAACAGAACCGACCCGGCCTCAACTACTGTCAAGTCCGGCAGCTTCAGCGTGGCCAGTATCGGTTGGTTGTATTGGGTTACCTCCCAGGCTTCCCAACACAACAGCATGTGCCTGTGTCCACACAGCTTCAACCAGACAAGCCCGCTCCTGTGCTTTGTGGTGTGGGACCTCAACATGTGAATTTCAGCGACTGCTGATAAGCCCTCTCGTGCCAAGCACTGTAG